ACACTGACAATCATCAAAGTAAACGATTACATATTTGGTGGATACACCGACGTATCATGGAGCAGTAAGTACATCCTGGGCACCAAGTTGGTTTTTTTGGTGCAAGGTTTGAAGGATTTCAAAGGGCAAAGAATTAACGTTGGAAGGATTCTTATACTACATACGGCTACACGTACTCTAACCTCACGGGTTATTCAGTTGGAAACCATGGATTTTTCGCAGGAAGTCGTTACTTTACTCCATCTGACATTGAAGTTTTCTTCGAAATGGGTAAGTTAAAAAAACAAAAACACTTAAAACCCCAAAAGTCTAATTCATAGCAACGGTCAGGGATTCTGAAAGCGTACGCGCTGAACCACATACAGCAGCGAGATACTATTCACGTTATTGTGGCAGCAGTGGTCAGTGAATTTTATCTCAGTTTCGGGATATCAGCATACATCAACTGAGTCGGGGAAGAAAGTGATCGAGGAGTACATTTTGCCCTTAAATTTGAATCACTGAGTCGGGCCGAATCAGAAAGTTCAACCTAGCTAAATTGAACTTTTGGTTTTTGGTATTTTTCCCCTTTTCGTTTCTCAGTTATATTTGCACTTAAGGATCTGTGCTTTCGTGTAATTTAGTCGATGTGTTTACAAAATAAATGCACAAGGAAATATTGAGTTTAAATGGGGGCACATAGTTAGAGCCTCACGTTGTGAATAAGAAGATCTGGGGCCCTGATTTTTGTGAAAAACTCCCACGGTTGTGAAAATAGGAACAATATCTTTCTTTATTGTAGAACGTCTGTTATTGCAATTTACATTCGAGTTTCTTTTACGCACACAGGTGGTCTTGGTGCATCTATTATACTTAGAGGCCTGGACCCCAATAAATACTTGGGAAAGCTGATTTCATTTTTAGACCCAGTTCTTCCCACTGCATCCCGTACTGACTTTGCTAGGTGTTGGCATGCTATGACTGACGGCTGGGCGGCATCTACATTCCACAGCAACTGCGATGGGAGGGGACCTACAGTGACAATCATCAAAGTGAACGAGTACATATTTGGTGGATATACTGATGTGTCCTGGAGCGGAGGCAGGCATATCAAATTTTTAAAGAAGGGACAAGACAATTTTATAGGATCAACTATCGTTCCTTTAGGGATTTAAAGGGGGGGAGGGGTGCTGGAGGGAATTTTGAGCGATGCTCCCCTGATAGAAGCTCTAAGCCTTTATTATTTCATATTAATTTTTTAGCCATCAAGATTTCTTCCCACTTATATCGTCTATAGAAATGTTTCCTATTTAATAAACCCCTCAAGTCTTCCATAACTGTTTTTGGTACTCGTTTTTATACCAAAACTAGTAAAATATCTCCCTCCCTTTCACAAATCTCTAGTCTGAGACAAAACTCTCCGTCTAGCTCATGATAGAAATGAACTTCCAACCCCCCTCCCTCTCCTTCCTCAGGGGGTTTATGTTTTCTTCCAACTTTTTAATGTACGACTACATTGTTCTATTTCAGCCGGTTCTTGTGTAGGTTTTTCCTACGCCAGTAAAGCTTTCATCTTCTCTCTCTATAACGTCAAAGGATATAACCCCGTAAAGTTGACACAATACCGAAATCAGCAAAATGCAATGTACAGTTGTAATACGCGTGGACCCACCTTTGGTGCTGGATGTGGTCATGATATCTACATATCCGACGACTCTGGAAACAACCCAACCTCTTACACCAGATGTGGTTGCACGTACACGACACCCTCAGGATACTCAAGTGGTAACTGTGGTTTTTTTACGGGGGGGTCTCATTTCTCTCCAACGGACGTCGAAGTATTCTATGAAGCAGGTAATTAAGAAAAACACCCCTTTCCAAGGATAAATACTTCTTAAAAAGTTGTATTGCTGGAGTACGGGTAGCTTGCGTTTTTTTTTCATTTCAAAGGAATGTGTAAGCTTGTAAAGTCTCTTTTGCAGGATTTATTTAAGTTCGTCACACAACACGTAGCGTGACGAGCCTGAGTTGTCGCGGGGGTTTGTGGGTATTACATGAGAACTATGTTGGTGGGGCCACTTGAAAGAACGCCTGAGCTAACAAACAAATTTTATTCTCTCTGCCGCCTAAAATACCGCCTGGTATACGGGCTAGGAATTTTTCAACATGCCGAATCAGTAACGTTAGATTGTCTAACCGGCCAACGAAGGGTGATGAAATTATCCACTTAAGGTTCAAAGGCGACACCACCAATCAAAGCTCTTGTTCCATTTCTTTAGCTAACTGTAATTTTTCCTTTTCTTCTTCCTCCTCAGGCCTGGGTTTGTCCGCCATACTTCGAAGTCTTGATTACAACAAGTACTTGAAGGTGCTGTTTTCGTATTTGGACCCAGTCCTTATCAATAAAGAGCGTAGCAGGTTTGTGAGGTGTTGGCACGCAAAGACTGACGGTTGGGCAGCATCGACATTCCACAGTAACTGCAATGGGAGGGGACCCACAGTGACTATCATCAAAGTTAACAGTTATATCTTTGGTGGATACACTGACGTGTCCTGGACCAGCAGTGAGTAAAAAAAAAGCAAACATCTCTCACATGAAGAACAGATAACAAGTCGATTAGTTGTGGACTTTACTTGTAGCATCGAGTTCAGAAACAGAAAATATCACATTAACAACTCAGATACCAAAGAAGATTAACTTGTAAATAGCCTGAAAACGCGTTTGAAACGGGTTTTAACTTAAAGTCTTGTTTCGGATTTGATTTTTGATTTGATTTTGATTTGATTCTGACAGCTCAATTTCGTGCCATTTCTCCGTGTTTCGTTGTATCCATTATTCATATTGGAGAGCTGAAACAAAGGATGTTTAATTAATGCTCTCTTTAGATCATATGTTGCCTTTGAATGACACTTCGGACCTTATTTCAAGTGCTTTTTTTTGAAAAGTGAAAATATGCTCTCGAGGTCTTTGAAATTTATTCTAACAAATTTAAGTGTTCGATTCTAGCTCGGCAAGTAAAAAAATCATTTTTTATGGTTATCATCAATAATTTTCTTTTTCTGATTCGCATAGTTTCTAATGCTCCTAAATCTTTTCATTTTAGGTCCCTGTGCTTATTCTTCAGCCAGCAAAGCTTTTGTTTTCTCTCTTTACAACGTCAAAGGATACAATCCTGTGAAGCTGTCACAATATCAAAATAAGAAAAACGCGATGTACAGATGTTCCTCTCACGGACCCACTTTTGGCTCGAGACATGATATCTACATATCAAATGCCGCAAAAAACAATCAATCATCTTATACCAGATGCGGTGGCACGTACTCCAACCCCACGGGCCATTCAGCTGGAGATTGTAAATTTTTCACAGGAACATCAAATTTCGCTCCATCTGACATTGAAGTTTTCTTCGAAATAATAAACTAAACACTAAAAACTATGCTGTCTAAGTAAGTATCGAGTTAGTATTGTAACAATAGAGTTAATAGAGTTAGTGCCTCCTCACACAAGGTCTGGTTAAAAAAACAGTATGTAGTTTTAAGGGGGGTTAGAGGTGGATAGAGACATAAAAAGTCGGTTCCAGTCTCTAAGACAGTAAAGACATGCGAAAGGGCAAGCAAACCCAAACGGCGGTTGTGGTTCTCAGGAAAACAGCTGAGCGCCTACGCACTGAGAGATAAGGAGATTTGAGATTTGCGTTTAGCCTTACCTAGCCCCGATATTTAACACATGTTAAACTTACCATGGAAAAATACTTCAGTTTGTATAGAAACACTTTGTCGGACGGTTGATTCTTTTGACAGAGATGTGATTATGTCATCCAGGAAGGAAGCCTTTTAACAAGGCCTCTGAATGAAATTTCGACCTCACTTGTTCTTGATTTATCAAGCACGTCTGAACCTTAGGTCGATATCGAGTTATACAAAGAATTGGTCAAATATGATTTAAAAATTATTTGAACATCAAGTTTATATCTGATCAAAACTGTGGCTGTCAGAAATCAACTGTAATCCTTTGAATGTAAATAAAACTAAGTTCACCACTCGTTTATTTTCATTGTGTTTCGTTCACCGCATTAAGATAACTTTCGGTCTCAGTTTTCAACGACTGATTGATGCACAATGGTATTAGAGCGATGAACCCAAAGTAGAATGTTCGCAGGTGCACATCACGCACCAGATCCAAAGAGTAGTTCCACCTTGGCAAATTTTCCCGCAGCTGGGCTTTTCCCGCGCTTTTTAGTACCTCCACATTTTCCCGCGCTTACTTATTGCTTTGTTCTTTCCCTCTCTTTTTCCCAATTTCATCCATTCAATGTTTCCTAGCGCCAATCGATAGCTGTATACTTTCCCATGTTTGTCACTTATCAGCTATTCCTTAGCAATCGTATTATTCTGCACTTGCGCTGCAGTAGCATGCATTCGAGTTGCCACTTTGCCTTACTATAAATATGAGCTCGGGAAAGTTTTTTTTGTTTCCTGCTTTATGGCAGCCATTGCATGCTAATTACATACCATAACCGCCAAAGATGGATTCTCTTTGCATTGACCAAAGAAACGAACGGATGCAACTCAAAGAGTCGTAACTACCATATAGTCTGTTGATGTCAGTGTTATCTGACTATGCAGTCTAAATAAGTACTATCTGAGTTTAGTAACAATAAACTTAACCCTTTACACCCTAACATCAGTAGACATATTCTCCACACTGTTCTCTATACATCTCCTGAAGTGCTGACAATGAGAATTTGTTCGATAATCAAGAGTCTCTTTAGTCAAATATCATTTTCATTATTCTCATGACCTAAATGTGTTTTTCTGGGGTGATCATGTAAGGAGAAATTTCATACTAGTCACTCTTAAGGGTCAACAAAACTTACTCTGTTTCTGCGATCTCATCACACCGCCGCTGAGATGAGATCCCAGAAACATCATAAAATTTGCTGAGGATAGAGCGGCTCTTTCCTTTGATCTTTTTATATAAGGAGCTGAGTTAGCTTAGTTACCAAGATTTTCACAAGTTATTTTTTCGATGTTATGAAAGTCTTTCTCAACAAAAGCGACAAGTGTGCCATTACGATCACCAGTGAAATTATTGATGGTACTCATAACAAAATCAAATGTATTTGTCCTGCCTATGTTTTTATCAAATTGTCATTGTTAGAAATTGTCTTTTTGAGATCAACAACATTTCATTCTCTCTGTTTATTAAACATTCCCATATCAATTTTCGGCAAAGAACCTGGCGTTAAACACCCCCATCTAACTTTCCACAGATATATTAATGAGATGAAAAGTATTGATATCAACCCTTTTATTATTTGTATTTTCAGTATTAACGATATCAACATCTCTTAATCCACCTAGTTCACCGAAATGTAAAGTTTTAGCTAGGCCCTTATAACCATCATTAATATGTATTATATGTATTCCAGACACGTTAAAAGTTATGGTTCCACTTGCAGAAACTGAAATGAACTATCTGGAATTAAGACATTAGCTCCACTTGCAGTGAACACGATCCCACTAACATTATCCTGTGAAACTTTGTTACAATAATAATACACCTTTGCTGTGGCATCATACATACTTTATTCGTAACCGGATTTGATCATTTACCGCATCTTGTACAGTCAACTCTTTTACCGGAGTTTGAAATTCAAGAGTGTCATTTCGTAGGTCATAAACTTGATTCCATACCCTCGTCGGCAGCACATTTTGGTGCCCTTTAACATCATACACAACGACAAATACTTGCAAGTCTTGTGTATAAGAGATGCCAGTTTTATTTCTAAAACCATATGAATCGATAGATAACTTGGAGTCACATTATTATATTTATGAAGATGAGTTATACTTCGGCTGTGATTACTGAGCGTATTAGTTGATATTCTTGTAACTGTCTCAGTATTGCTGATGGCTGATATTTGGACTGTTGAACGGTTGATTGATACTGAAGGAAAATACAGTTCAAAAACGACTTTATATTCACCGGTTGTAAGAGGGAACATATTCAAACCTACACGGCTGCTGTAATACCCTTTGCTTGAATCGAAATGAAGTTTCATCTCATGTGTCTCTGTTTTGACTTGACGAAAATTTGTATTAGTAATCTGGACACCTGCGTCATTGCTTCAAGTGTTATCAATACTTTAAAAATTGAAGAAACTAATTTTAATTCGACACCAGGTTTTGAATGACTATTTTTTTCAAGTGACTGTTATATAAAATGCTCAATATCTTCATAAGAGTAGTTCCCATCGGGTATTGTTATTGTTGTCCAATTGATTCCAGAATCAGCGTTGTATTTCAGTGTATTATTATTGTAAATTTATGCAATATTATACCAACTGTAACTCAAATTTGAAATTCTATACCTCGCACTTCCTTTGAATAAATATTTCAAAAGGAATTTGTTAGATATTGGATCACCTTATTGGCAAGCCAACGGTCCAATTGAAAGGTATCATTTTAAACAAAACCTCATACTATCCAACTCGAACAGCTGAAAATTTTTCATGCGCTTTGCTAAACTCTCTAAGCTGAGTTTTGCGGAAAAATTCCTCGTTTATGGCAGTTTATATTAGGATTTCTCACTTGGTACTCAACGCTTTATTTCTGTCTTTTTTGTAACCCCAGTTACATGCACTGATAACTTGAAAATTCTTAATGAATATGTTCAAAAAGCAATATCTCGATGTCCCCACTTTTCTACTGGAAAAGTTTTTAGTAACTCCCGCCGTTATAATTGATTGAGTATCAGAGATAAAACGAATTTTGCCAGAGGGATTGCAAACGTTTTCAAAAACAAGTAGGAGACTAACAAGGAATCTGAGTCCATTGCCATGGATGAGTACGAAGATTAATTATACCATGCAAGACCATGATAAGCATTACCGCAAGGCTATTAAATCGAATTCGCACTTCCAGAGTATAAAAGGCTTAGAAACTTATTGAACCGTGAAATAAAGTCTGCCAAATCCAGATATTATTGTGACTTAATCAGCGAAGCTAAAGGAGATTTAAGTAAATTGTGGACGGCTGTAAACGAAGCGTCATCTCCTAATAGCAAGTCTTCGATCCACAATGCATTATCGCTAACGGAGTTCATCATACAAAACCATGGTCAATCACCTCTGCCTCGAACTCTCATTTTGCGTCTACAGGACGGATTTTGCTGAAAAAAATATCATGTGTAGCTCGTGCTTCACTGCCAATTGATGGTCATTCTGAATTGTTCCAATTTCAAGAAATTAGTGAAGCGGTTGTTCATAAGTAGTTACTCGGTCTCAAGGCAACTAAAGCAATTGGATTGGACAATATAAGTGCAAGTCTTTTGAAGTGTAGCGCCCAATCAATTACTTATTCCATCACGAAATTGATAAATCTTTCCATACGCACAGGGAAGTTTCCGGGGATATGGAAGTGCTCTAAAGTGACAGCTTTATTAAAATCTGGAGACTGAAAAAAATCCAACAAACTATCGCCCTATTTCAATTCTACCCACTCTCACCAAGATCTTAGAAAGGATAATCCACTGTCAGTTGTACGAATACCTTGATTCAAATAATGTACTTTCAAATATGCAATTTTGGTTTTCGTTCTAAACGTTCAACAGCCACTGCATTGTCTGGCTTTGCCGATGAAGTCTTATTAAACATGGAAAAAGGGAACATTTGTGGTGCTGTATTCCTGGATTTTTCAACGGCGTTCGATACAATCGATCACGGGATCTTGATGTCCAATCGTCATCAATTGGAGTCTCCCCACGGTCTTTGGAGTGGTTTTCTTCGTATCTGAGTAATCGGAATCAGCAAACCTCTTGTGATAATAAATTATCCGAAGCCCTTCCCGTTACTTTCGGCTTTCAACACTCCGAGGTATCATCGTACGCTGACGATGCTTTTCTTTACTGCTTCGCAAAAGAACCTCGCGAGCACGAGAGCAAGTTGAACTCAGGTATCTACAACGCAACATTGTGGCTTAAAGCGAATAGACTTACTTTGAAGCTCTCTAAAACCAAATCCATATTGATGGGAAGTAATAGATAATTATTTACTATTTCCTCGTTGTCTCTTTCTATTTTTGATCGTAGGTCAGATAGCATAAATAGGTTTAAATATTTAGGGGCTATATTGGCCTCAGACTTCACATGGTCAGATTACGTAGAGTATATAATTTCTAGTTAAAGTTAATCAACGGCTCGGTCTTTTACGCATAACTTGAAAATTTTTCATGAATAAAGCAGTCCCTGAAAGGCCCTGACTACACTTTTTTTATATTTAATTAATATTTTTGTTCAATAACGCAATTGAAAATTGTCCGAATTCCGTTTAGTATGCCATATCCACCCAAGGGCACTAGAGATTTCATATTCCACTCAACTGTCTACATTCCGCTGTTTATATTTGTTTTCTCACTCGGTATTCAACTTTCTATTTCACTCTCTTTTGTAACTTCAGTTGCATGCAAGGATAATTTGAAAATTCCTAATAAATGTGTTTAAAAGGCAACTTCTTGATGTCTCCACTTTGCAACTTGAAAAGTTTAGTAACTCCAGCCGTTGTAATTTAGTAAGTATCAGAAATCAGTGAAACGAATTTTTGCCGGAACGATCGCCAAAATTTTTTATAAACAAGTAGGAAACTAACAAGGAATCCGAGTCTTGAATAATTGATTAGTTTAAACAATTCTTAAAAAAAAAATCTTATGGACTTGACCAACATGTAAAATTATGTCATGCAGGACCGCAAATAATAATTGATCAGTACAAAACAAAGCGTATGGACCAGACTAATAATTTTGTTACCCGCAAAAATGAAACGAACTATTTCGGCATCTTTTCAAATTCTATGCCTTGCCCTCCTGGAAACTCAAATTCGAAAATCCAGCTCGAAATCCGACTCAAAATCCTAACTCGAAGAAGTTTGCTCAAAAGTAGAATTACAAGTTCGTATTGCGACCTCCAGTGGCCAACAATCGGTATTTGATCGCTGTTCGAGTGACTGCTCGATAAAGGAGAAACTCCAAATCCTAACTCGTTAACA